TATATCTCCTGATATAGCCAACCTTCACTTCCATGTAACAGCTAGGACAAGCTTACTTAACTATGTTCTAAGTTGTTTCAAGGAACATTCATTTTCCACAACAGAGGACATACAAACTTCTAATCAGCATTTGCAATCTTAAAGTTCTCAATTTTCCATCTTTAGAAATCAGTCTATCAAAATATATAGTACATATTTTTGCTTTAGTCTATGTATGCATATCTTGCAATTGTAACCTTATCTGCCCGTCAAATATCACCTTTCAAATCTATTTTCTCATTTAACATTTGCAGCCAATCATTCAAGTTCTTAGCCAATATTACATTATTTGTGTCATTAACAAAGAATACATGTTCACATCTCTATTAACAAAACTCTATCTTCACTCCCAGGATCACAGGGATTACTTATAGGGTTTTGACAATAAGTTTATTCATAAATGTATTAAACATGCTTGTTTAATCACATATCCTTGTCCTTTGCAATGCTCATTTGAATCCTTTTACTACAAATTCTATTAATTTTCATGCATGGTTTACTCCCATCATATATTGCTTTTTATTCAGCAACCAATTTTTAACTTCGTACTCAAAATATTCCATAATTTATTTTATAATACATTTTTTCCTCAATTGACATAAATGCTTTTTTTTTATATCCTTCCATTTGTAAATGACCTGTTGAAGAGCAAATCTGATCTACATACCCACTGCTTGGCAAAGAAACATATTTAACTTCCCAAATTTTGTACTTCTTGTACCATTTTGATCAGAATTTTGCCAAATACCTTCCCAGGCACATGTAATAAATTCATTGCCAGGTAGTTTTGCATTCACTTATGCCACTTTTCCCTTTATGGAAGGGAACAGTAACAGTATTTTCCCAACTATCTGGCACAGAAGTAGTATGTACATACTTAATAAACAAATTGCACAGCCATTTCTTAACTATACCATAACCACGTTTTAACATTTCTCCAGTTCTACCATCTAAACTTGTAGCCCTGCCATTTTCTTCATTTTACAACAATATTTCTTTTTCATTATACTTTTCTTGACATTAATATTTGTAGAGTTATTTCAATTTTAGTTTTCAACATGCCACTATAATTACATATGAATTTTTAAAATACTCCATCATTCCTTTATACCACTTTTATCCGAAATTATTTTATCACTTTATTTTTAATTCTCTTCCTTGCTTAGCTTTGGTTGCCTAATTCCAAGTCAGTGTTTTATTTCCATAAAATCTCTGTCTCTTTTTATCTTAAGTTTTTCTTTACTATATTTTTGTGATTATATTTTTATGTACATGGAACAAAAACTTATTTTTAGCAATTGCTTTCTTTTTTGCATTTTCTCATCCACATATTTTAATCCCATAACACATCTTTTTTATATTTCTCATTAGTGTAAGCTCCACACACTTATAACACAATTCTTTTCATTCTCTCCCAAGCAGCTTTCACATCTTTCCCATGTCTATTTCCACTTATTTAGTTGAAACATTAATATATTTCTAATATTTTAGACTCTTATCTTCCTATACTCTGATTTCATTCAATTTTCCTCTTTTTTTTCTTGTCAATTTTTTTTCCTAAGATCCTTTCTTGACATTACCCAAGAATAGTCTATGTTTCATTTAAAGTCTCTCATGCTACCATATGCTTCACTTATTCTCTCAGTGTTTCAGTATAAACAATCAAATCAACCATGCTCTATGATTTATATTAATTCTTTTATCAGACATACTATGAGTTCAATTAGGCTTAAATCACATGTTTGAAACCAGCAGACATTTTTCCAAGTATGTAATCACCAAATAGTCATTATTCTCATCCACTTAACTGTCTGGTTTGGTTCTGCAACCCAACAAGATAGACACACCTTCAGAGGATAATTAGGACTGCAGAAAAAACAATTACTACCAATCTGCCTTCCATTGAGGACCTGTATACTTCATGAGTCAAAAAGAGAGCTGTGAAAATATTTACAGACCCCTCACATCCTGGACATAAACTGTTTCAACTCCTAACCTCAAAACGATGCTATAGAGCACTGCATACCAGAACAACTAGACACAAGGAGAGTTTTTCCCTAAATGCTGTTGAGGTAATTCCCCTTTAGGAGAATGAGTGCACAAGGGAGACGTAGTGAGAATGGTGAGGAATAACACACAACCAGCATACAGATACACTGTATAGTAAAATGTAGGTTTTTACTTCCAGTAAACGGTTAAGCAAAGTCCAACAAGCAGTCCAAGTCATACACAGTTAAGGCAGTCAGTATTCAGTCTAGGGATAATCCAAGAACAAAGTCCAGTATTATAAACAGTTCAGTAACAGACTTACATCAAATCCAAGAAGAACGATGATCAGCAACAGTCAATAGGGAAAAAAATCAGGAACCAAGAACAGCGAACATCAGAACATGGACCAACTAGCAACAATCAACAACAGAACTAAACAACCCAGGTTTCTGACTCCTTCTTATGGCCATTTGAGGAACCGCGCCCAATTACAATTTTAGCATTCCCTTAAAGAGACAGTTTTAAATGTCTATCCTGGTTTATATACTGTATTTCCAACCCAATTGTTAGGTGACTATCAATTCCTAACAAACGCCATCACTCTGCTAAACAAATAATTCCCTCAACAGTCAAACTATTTACTAAGTCTGCACTACTATTACTGTTAATCTTCTCCTTTTCACCAACCCCTCCTACTTGTGACTATATGACTGTAACTTCTCACTTGTATCCTTACAATTTTTATTGACTGTTTCCTAGTATGATTTGATTGCTTATTGTACCCTATGACTATTATTAAGTGTTATACCTTATTATTCTTGACTCTTGACGAATGTATCTTTTTTTTGTGTACACTGAGAGCATATGCACCAAGACAAATTCCTTGTGTGTCCAATCATACTTGGTCAATACAGAATTCTCTCTTCCTTCTTCTTCTTTGGCATCTCTAGTGGCCATAAAACATTTTGCATTATGTTTCTAAGTTATTGCATTATCCTTTCATGTCATCTAACAGAATATTTTTCCCATGGATCATGTTCATTCAAAACGTTGCACAAAATTTCCCAAAACTCATGTCTGAGTGATTCTTTCATTATCTTTATTGAAGCAGAACAAGCAACTACCTCTGAATTCTTACTTTCATATTTTCCCATAACAACCTATAAGACTCCAGTTCAAACTTTCTGACATGCATTCCAGTTCTCTCATTCACTATTAAACCTATACCTCCATATATTCATCAAGGCGACTCCTCAAAATCACACTATTTTTATTCCTATTTTAGAGTTCCCCTTTCTTTTAGACTGGTAGACATCATACTATATACCTAGTTTGCTTTCAGCTGTTAATTCATAGCCTGTAGATTTATTCCTCCCATATTCCAAGTCCCCAAACCATGATCAACATCACATTAGTTCTACTGCTGAAATCTTGTATCCACATGCAAATAATTGACTAAATTATTCATTACCCAAACTATAAAAACTCCAGTTTTAACTATTCTTGATACTACTTCCCTTGTAGACCTGTTTGAGAATCATAAAGTGTATCTATCAGGGCTCTGCCTTAATTGATGATAGATTATAGGCTTTTAGCTAGTCATTTTAGAGGCAATTTTTTTTCCAGTTGGCATGAAATTTGCTAAGAAGCTATTCACAACTCCTTTTGGTATTCTATCTTGTTCACAATGCCCACTGATATTTACAATAGTCTGTACAAGCAGGCAGAAAAACAATTATATATAACCAATTGAAATTCTGGATGCTTTATATAAAATGACAGGAATTGATATAAACAAAATGTGTCAATATATAAAAGATAAATAATCTAAGATACCAATAGGTACCAAAGGGATAGATGGAATCCATAGACAATAGAAGTGTTTATGAGACAGCAACAAATAAAAACAGATGATAATGACAGTAAAGATGAATGGGAATATTAACAAAGAAATTGTATAAGGGTGATGACTAGGGATTATTTGTAAAGAAGAAGTATGCAACTTCATATAGAATGGGTTGGTTAAGAAAATGGGAAAGGATGGATAGTATATAAAAAGAAAATTGATGCAAAAATGCTGAATTGATGAACAGTGAGATAAAAGAAGTAAAATAAGATTATATGCTGTGAATATAAACCCACAAAAAAGTTGTAGATGAATAAAAATGGCAGAGCGCAATCCAAATAGTTAGAGAATGCATACCAGGTAGGAACCAAAAAACCAAAGAATATGATAATAAATGAAATGTGATGGAAGGACAACTGTTGATTGCATGAGAGAACTCTTAGAAAAAGGGATTGCAAGAGACCAAAAGAAGGTAAAGAGGTCAAAGACCAAGCAAAAATACAGGAGAAGATTGAGATGAATGGAAGTGAAATGTAGACAGGATAGGCAAATGAGTAGATAGAAAAGAGGAAGCAACAGCCACCCCGGAGCATTATTTGCCGAAGTAACTAAGGAAAAGTGAGATAGCAGAGCTAGGTGGGAATCAAGTGAAATATAGGAATGAGGAGATGGAAAGGGAAGAGGCAGAGGAGAAACTAGTGAATTAATGTAGCTAGATAACTAAATGGATGCACAATACTGGGGGTTCAGATACCAATGGAAATGAAGATTAATGGGTGAACAAAATGGAGGGATGAGCTTATGTGTCAGCTTGACTGAAGACAAGGATGAAGAAAGGCACTTTTGTTCCTTCCTTAGAACCTCATGGGAGGTGGAGCTCTGGCCAGGAATGTCCCAAGAGCCTCAAAACTTGAGCTCACTCTTCTCTTCAACCAACACCACCACTTCCTCCAACGATGCCTCAAAACTTGGGCTCACTCTTCTCTTCAACCAACACCACCACTTCCTCCAACGATGCATATGGCAGACCCGGCCCCTCCTCACCACTTTCTCCCTCCTCCCTTTTTTTCCCTCCTCCCCTTTCGTCGCTCCTCCCCCTTTCTCCCGGCGGCCATTGGCCCAATCCCGGCCGCCCCCTCACGCCGCCGCTCAGCTGAGGAGACAATGGGCGATCAAAGGAGGGGAGGGGGAGGAGGAAGAGGATGGCGCTAGACCAGGCGAGAGCCCGGCCGGGTGGCGCTTTCTCTGCGCTCGATTAGTGATCCTAGAGAGGGAGAGTCAGCCGGGCGCCGAAGCGAGGCGCTGGAAGGGACACCGAGTGGTGGTGGTGGTGGTGGTGGAGCTGGCGGCGGGTACAGGGAGTCCTTGCCGCTGCAGTTGCTACCTCCTCCTCTTCCTCCTCCTCCCTCTCCCCGCTCTCCCGCGCCTCGCGAGCAAAGTGTGCGCGAGAGAGTGTGAGTGGTGAGTGTGAGTGAGCGAGCCCCGTTGCGCAGCTTGGTTTGCGCACAAGCACCACCAGCCGCGGAGGAGGAGGGCGGCAGAGGCACTACCACCACCACCACTATCACCACCACCACCACCACCAGCAGCAGCAGCACTACCGCCACCAGCGCCCGGGCATTTGAGGAGAGGAGCGCTGTGGAGCGAGGCAGAATACACGCATATCTGAGGAGGGGTGGTGGGTGGCTGGGGGAAGGAAAAGCGAAGCGGCGGCGGCGGCAGAGGCCACACCAAGACCCCAAGTGAGACAAAAGTAGCTCCAAACCAGCACCCAACTCCACCTTGGGAGGCAGGCGGCAGGCGGGCGCCTCAGCATGGCTTCCGAGGAACTCTACGAGGTAATCAGCCCCGATGCTCCCCCCTTTCTCCTCGTCCCTTCCTTATTCCCGCCAGCCAGCCCCCACCCCACCCCTTACACGCTTTTTTTCGGGGGTGTGAGTGTGTGAGGGCTTAAAATCCGGCGCCCTCTCTCCTCAGTTGCTTTCGGCTTCTGGCTTTTCTTGGCGGGGCCCTGTGTGTGTGTGTGTGTGTATGTTTGTGTGTTGTGTGTGTTGTGTGTCTGTTTCCAAACTGCGAGACTGCCTCTCTTCCCTCCCCCAGTTTCGCTAGAGGAGGACGGAAATATGACTGAAAGCAGGAGACGGTAAAGTGTAACCATTGGCTTGCGCTTTCTCTCGCTCCCCCCCTTCTTCTTTTTTAACCCGACCCCCCCCCAAACTCCACGGCCACCCCTTTCACCCTCTCGGGTCTCGCCACGAGGGAAGGGGAAAAGGGTGGGTGCCGGACGTTAGGTAGCGGGCGCTGACAGCCGCGACTTGCCCAGACCTCCTCCTTGCGCACAAAAGTGGTTTTGGGTAGTGTGCAAAAAAAATTGTGTTGTAGAAGTTCTGCCCGTTTTGGGGTGGGGTGGGTAGTGGATGGGGTGGATGGGTGGATGGGAAGGCGAAAGGAAGGGTTATCTTCCTCTCTTTGGAAAGTACATTGACACCTTTGCCTGGCGAGCCAGCTCGCGTTGATGCACAACACACGAAACATCCAAAACTAATATTAAAGCTGCATTCTTTAGCAGAATGGACAAGTTTGGGGAGGTTTTTGTGGGTGGGTGGCATGCGGGGGGGGGATGGCTAGTTCCAACGCATGGTATTTTATTTGAGGGATGCCCAGCTGGACGAAGTGGTAGTAAATAGCTTGGTTGGCTTTGCTTGAGATGGAGGAAGGTGACTTTTTTAACTTTGAGTTTCCAGTCTTTTGATGCCATTTATAAATCTTCAATGTACTGGCACAGGATGGGGGATTCCTTTCAGGTGCAATTTCTTGGTTTTTTTTCTTTTTAATGTATATTTTATGGAGTATGTTATATAGGTTAATGCTTGCATTAAATTTTGGAAACCATTCTAATTCATTTGGGAGGTAAAACTCATTGAAGAGCCTGTGCTAGTTTTCTTCTACCATGGACAAATGTAGACAGGTTTGATAAGTTTGTGAGTTTAACTTATTAGCAGACATGTGAGTCTGGAACCTTAGAATTACTAAAATATATTAAATAGTAATACAAAACATAGGATACAACTCTAACTCAATTACTAGGGATTGTGCTTCACTGACTTTATAACTTTATTTATAATAAAATAGTGTTGTACTCTTAATGTGGAACTCAAAGTTATGCAGAAGGAAGAATTTAGGAGCTGTAAATTCCAGTTTTCAGCTGATCAGTGGACAGTAGTCCATATCTATGAGTGAGCAGAGTTCAGTTTTTGAACAAATGAAATTTTTGAACTAATAATCTTGATTGATGATTATGTGCCATTAAGTGTTCAATCTTAAGAGAGACCACTTAGATTTCATCTAGAATTATCCCCCCCCCCTGGTCCTTTAGATCTAACAATAGTATAGTTGCTACTCTAATGGAGTCCATCCATCTTGTGGTTGATCATTTCTTTGCTTCCACCTTTTCCAGTCTTCTCAAGAGAACTAAAAACTTTGCATAATGTGTCCCCAATATAATTTGAGCTTGGACATTTGTGTCTTGAATGAGAATTCTGAATTGATTTGTTCCTTGATCCAGTGATCTGCAACCTCAGTTGATTATAAAATTAGTTGATTATGTTGATTATAAAAGTAAATTATGACTAAAGACACCAAAGATTTGGGGGATCTTTAGAGGACAGTACAAGCAGATTATTTGAGGGAATTGTCAGTAATATAATAACTTAGCAGCTGGTTCAATCTGTTGGGATTTTTAACCGATATTTCATAAGTGCATATATTTTCTGAATTGTTCTTTTCTAGGAAGGTCATTGGACAATTTAATCCAGTTCCTTTTTTTCTGATGTTGGGGATTCTTGTATCTGTTGTCCAGAAATGGAACTTATGAATTGCTTATGACTTTAGTAACTCATACTGTTGATTGCACAGAATAGCCCCCTCCAAGCTGCATTGTGTTTAGTTTATCACTCAGTCATGTTAATTGGGCTATAGAAAGCTAACCCTATGAATTAAAGAACTTGGAAGAATGCTTGAGAAAGCAAATCAAGGTATTAAAGCAGGGGTCTCAAACTCAATTTACCTGGGGGCTGCTGGAGGCAGAGGCTGGGTGAGGCTGGGCCGCATAAGGGATTCCACAAAAAACGTTGTTAAAAAAATATCCTCAAATGTCATCAACAGTTAATGATTTCTCCAATACATGAACTGTCCTGAACACATGAATGGTACATTGAATGAAGATCATGAACAGTTCCTCAGAACATGGCTTCTCCAGCTTACTCCTTGCTGCCAGAGACTTGACAACGCTTCCTCTCACATATCTGAGCCACATTTGGCTTGAGAGAGGAGGCACTTGAGACCCTCAGTATGGCTTGAAGATGATCATCAGTAAGTCTGGACCTGTACTTGGACTTGTTAAAGTTCAGGGTGGAGAAGAAGCCACGACGAGGAATGGCGGGTGGGACTTCCTTCAGAGGTCCATTCCCCCTGCGGGCCGCACTAATATTATACTTTCATATCACGGTGGGGGCCATAGGATATCGTCCTGCAGGCCGCAATTGGCCCACGGGCCACGAGTTTGAGACCCCTGTATTAAAGACTATGGCAGGTGCTTTATATAAGTACACCATTTGGATATTAACTGAAATTGAAGGATTAACTAAGGCTATTACTGAAGCTGGGTTAGGTATAGAAACTTTCTTTACAAATATTCGTGGACTTTTTAAAGAAGTTATAGAGTTTGCTTTACTGTTGAAAAAATTAGTAAGAAAATTGAAAAAAATCAGTTTCTTGATAATCATTCATACTATGTTTCAGATGGAAGAGAACTGAGTCTCGCTATATTTGTAAAATGATAATAACACTTTTTTCAGCTGAGATGTGTTCAGATAAGTTATGATATTTCAATTAGTGGTTTGGAATTATTGCATTAGGAGGCAATAACATAATCTCAAATGATTAAAACAAGATATACCTATTTTTTTGAAATTCTAGAAAACTGTCAGAATGAAATATAAACTTTATAGTAATATATGTGATAATCCAATTAGGAAATGGTGTAGGTAAGATCTTCAAAGCATTTTAATTGGAAGAACATTGATTAATAAATTGATGATTTTGTGTATTTGTACAGAAGATGGTACAAAAAAGACAGCACTGCAGCTTATACAAAACTACTAACCCTTGCTTTATTACAAAAGAAGAAATTGTTTGGAGAAGTTGTGGATTAATTTGTACTAGATTTAATCATCCTTTGGTTTACAAAAGTGTTGAAAGGATGGTATGAACATCAAATGGAATTATATACAAATTTATTCAAGACGGTGGATAAACCATGAGCAACATTAATCTTCCTTGTTTCCACCCACCTACCTAGCCACCCATTTATGCCATAGACATGTTTTATAAGAAATCCTACGCATTTTTCTGAAGTTTGATGAAATTCCCTCCATTTATCTTCAAAAACTTTAGAAAAGAATTGGTAAATTACTTGTGTTACTGAGTGACCCAAGTCAGAAACAAACACATACTACCTTTATGAATGACTTCTCTTTAAGAATATTTAGAATCAGCAAGTTATATGGAGTTATTATTTCAAGTACATTGAATATACTATGTACTTTTTGACTCTATAGAAGTTTTATAGAAAAATCTTGATCTGTTTTAATGAACACCTGTGAAAAAAATTGAGTTAAATAACTGAAATCTGAATATGAGTTCTATAAAGGCAAATACAGTGACAATTTACACTAACATAGCTTCCAAACCATGATATATAATACCACCTTATTCAGTTTTGACCGGATCTCACCTCAGATATTGTGTCTAGTTTTGGTCACCACACTTTAAGAAGAATTGAGCAAAACTGAAACAGAAGTGGAAGGATGCTGAGAATCATTAAGGGATTACAAATTCTTACAGAGATACAAAAGGTTGAAGTAGCTGATCATGTTTAGGATTGAAAATTGACAAAGTTACTATCACCTTGTTAAAAAAAAAGGCTTCTGCAGGGGGTAATAAGGGAAAATGATATAAGTAGCATCACCCAATACCAACTCTGCCCTTTGGTTTGTGCATTGGGTTAGTGCATGCACATACAAAAAAGAAGAAATTTGTCACAGTTAAGTGATGCATAATTGAGTGCTTCTGTGGTCATAATTTGACAGATTCAATTAAATGTGGATCCTATTCAGGAAAAGAGACCTCATGAAAAATGTCAGGACTTATGGATTTAAGATACAGAAAATCAAATTCCAATTGAATGTTTTGGAAAAGCTTGTTAAAAACATTTTGATGATAGAACTAAATATCCAAAAAGGTGATAGGCCTTCTTGTATTGGATAAATTTAAGTAGAGGCTAACCACAATGGGATGGTCACTGACCATAACGGAGTGGTCACTGACCTTGAGCCAGACATCCTAGAATGTGAAGTCAAATGGGCCTTAGAAAGTCCGAGCAACAACAAAGCTAGTGGAGGTGACAGTATCCCAGCTAAGCTATTCAAAATCATAAAAGATGATGCCGTAAGAGTGCTACACTCAATTTGCCAGCAAATTTGGAAAACTCAACAGTGGCCACAGGATTGGAAAAGGTCAGTTTACATTCCAATTCCAAAGAAGGGCCATGCCAAAGAATGTTCAAACTACCGCACCATTGAACTCATTTCACGTGCTAGTAAAGTTATGCTCAAAATCCTACAAGCTAGGCTGCAGTAGTATATGGATCGAGAACTACCAGAAGTACAGGGAGGATTTTGAAGAGGCAGAGGAACTAGAGATCAAATTGCCAACATATGCTGGATCAAGGAGAAAGCTAGGGAGTTCCAGAAAAACATCTACTTCTGCTTCATTGACT